CACACACACACACACACACACACACACACACACACACACACACACACACACACACTTCTGTTGGTTCTGTACCTCCAGAAAACCCTGACAAGCTTGCTCCTTGTTGCCCTGAGGATCAATCCAAACCCCTCCACTGGCTCCAGGATCCCAAAGGTGAGTACGCCCCGGTTCTTTGCCTCCCCCGACCCCCACAGAATTGAGATTTTAGCCTTCTCTAAGCTCCAGACCCTGGCCCTGGAATACCTGATCCCTCTGCTGCCCTCCTCAACCCAACAAATAGACCCCAAGCTCAGACGTCCAGCAACAGTGAAGGTCATGCTCGGAAATGGAGCCCGCTGTATACACAGGCACCGTGTCCTCTGTCTTCGGGAGTAAAAGCCAGAGACTGAAGTGCCGCTTGAATGGGCCTTGGCCTTTCTCCTGCTGGGCAGGTACTGGGCCAAGTGTAGGACAATCTGTAGAGCCAGCCTCTCCTCCAGACCTCAAAAACATGCGGGGGTCCCCTGCATCCAAGTCCCAGAAGTACAGTCCCTTTTCCTGTCCCCAGAGCCACCAGTAAACAAACAGAAGACATCTGAGTAGAGGGGACGGAGAGAGACAAACAGAAGACATGTGGCCGCTGGCAAACCTAGCCGAGGCCAGACTCTGGCTCCTAAGTCACGACCTTGCATCACTAGTATTTATTAGACAGGAATCAGCTTTTCAACACAGGTCATGCTCACCAGGCCCCATCCCACAGGCAGGCTTCAGGGGTTAGGGCAGGGAGGGAGAGGCTACCCATGGAGGCCCCCATCTAAGCTCTCAGCAACCAGCAGCCCCAGGGCTCAGCAATCTGAGCTGCAATGTATTCCCCCGCCACTCCCCAAATGACCCCGGAAAGGGGAGGAAGACCAGACCAAATAAATAGTCAATAAATAATCAAGGCCGGTTTGTCTTCCCCTGGGAACTCAGCCACTGGCTGGGAACCAGGGGTTGTGCAGGGCTCTGTCCTAGCTGGCTCTGGCAACTCAGACAGGAGTGTGAAGTCCATACTCACCCTCTCAGAAGAGGGAGGGCATGGGCTGGAGGGGTCCCCTAGGCTGATCCCCCCTGTGGTCTGCATTCTCTGTCTTCCACTGTGCCTGGCACAGGGCCACATGAGCTTGAGGACAAAGGGTCTCAGAGGCCAGGGAGGCATAGTGCCAGGAGTACCTCATAATCATTACCTTTGTCTGTCCCCAGCCCCAACTCCAGATCTCTTCAGTGCTGTTGGGGCCAGCTGTGGGATCCATCCCACCACACAACGAAGAGTGTAGCCTCCTGGCAGGAGTGGCTGCACCCCAACAAACAGGTTCTAGGGAGTGGGTGAGCTTATCTACAGAGGGGGAGCAACGTGACTAGAACATTCCAAAGACACACTACCTCCCTCTCGTGCTGAGTGACTTCACTGCTACAGAAGACTAAAACATGAAAGTTTCTATCTTGACCCAAAGTACAGTGCGGGGGGTGTTTTTGGTGTGACTGTTTCTTTAGGACATCAACATCTCAAGTGTTGTCACATCTACAAGTGTTTGAAACTTAAAAAATAATCCACACCAAGCTGGAGAAGGCCTGTGACCCTGACCCAATATTTCACAAGGTGGAGGCAGAGCTGAAAAGCTTGGAGTATCCTGGGCCATATGTCCCTTCTCCACAAAGGCCCATGTCCTTTCTGGGACTGGGTTGAGTCCTGGCATCTGCTCTCAGGATGAAAACAGATCCCCCCCCCCGCCCCAGCAAGTTCAGACCCTTACCCAGGATCTACTTGGAAGAGAGAGAAAACTGCCTTAAAGGGGATTTAAGCACAGGTTGGCTCCAGCTGTGGCCAGACAGAGCACAGGGCTTTCCCACATGGAGTCCCCCTAATGGCTGGGAAGCTGAAACCAGGATGGCTCTGAGGGGGTGGATCCCACAGCGCTGGCATGGAGAACACAGGAGGGTTGACTGATGGGTGGGGCCAGTGGGAATGCAGGGTCTCCAGGGACGTCAAGGCTGGGCCATCCACAGCAGGGTACCTGAAAAGCACATCACATTAAGGGTCACCACCTAGACACCCCTTCACCCTCCCTCTGCTTGGAAGCTCCCTCAGCCAGCTCCTTTCCCTGCCTGGACCAGCTGACCCTCACCCCGCTCTGTCCAGGCTGGTCTCTTACTACCCATGGCCAGCCTCACCTTACCATGACCAGCTGACAGATGGGTCTCACCCACACCCTGTCCGCCCCTGTGGTCTGGCAGGCTACAGCTGAGGCTATGTGTTTGAGCCTCAGGAAGAAGCTTACTGAAGACAGGGACTTGGGACCCTAGTCGCCATCCATCTTAGCAGCGAGCATGGCCTTTATGTCCCTTGCTAAACAAACTGATTCCTGAGTCCAGAGGAAACCCCTGGTCCTGATCCCCTCCCTCCCCACCACAGGCCCCTCAGTTCATCCTCAAGTGAGTCTCCCCTCAGTACCTGGGGCCAGAAGCCAGCTGATGACTCTCAGTGGTCACTCCCACAGGAAGCGCACATACCAGATGGTCTCATTCTTCATTTGTGGACCAAAGAGGGGGTTCAGCTGAGCCAGGATGGCGATGAGCCAGCTGCGAAGGACAGCAGAGTGAGGGGACTGGGCACAGAGGGGACCCATCCCACACACCAAGGGAGAACTCGGCTACTCTCTCTTCCAAAGAGCATGCAGCTAATCTAGACTCTGTGTCCTGGCTGGCACTGGGATTGGGCTTAGGATTTGTGGGGTTTGATGTGAGGTGATTTGATTTTCTGTAAGTATATAAGGTCCCTGAGCTCGGGCTGGACCCAGGGTGAGGGCTCTTTAGGGACCTTAGGGAGCCACCCTGCATTGCCACACACACCTCTGCTGCCCCCTAGTGGTTCTACACTGACTTAAGTCCAATCACCAGGGCGTTCCTTAGCAGTATGATGATGCCCTGATTTCTGTGACTTGCTGAGTCTGGAGTGGAGTACAAAAGTTGTGTTTAAACAACCAGTCCAATCTGGAGGATTCTGATGCCCAGAGAGGAGCGGACCTACTGAGCTGGCCCAACTCATGTATCTCACAGCTCAGCTGGGGGCAACACAAAGCTCATGCAACTGCCACCTGGGAGGCAGAACCAGACCCAGCACTGGTGACGGCCACAGCCCCAGCTCCGGGGGAAGGCGGTACTCACAAGAGGTAACAGCAGACAGCAGTGGCCACCAGCATGGTGATGATCACCCTGCAACAACAGAAGGGGAAGGGCAGCTTTGGCACACAGGGCCAGAGAAAGAGCTCCCCGTGTCCGCTGGTGCCACCTGGACAGGAGGCTGAGGTCCCTTCCGAGTGAGAATTACAAGACAAAGCTTAAGAACATCAAAGGGCATCTACATCCAAGGTATGCCGTAAATCTCTCCTTTTCTCGTCTCCATAAGCAAACACTTCTCCGTCTTCACGCTGGAGAAGGCTTTGCCCAAGCTCCATTTGTGGCAGCCCACTATAGGATGGCTTCAAAATTCACCACACACACACACAAACACACACACACACACACACACACACACACACACACACACACACACACACACAAGATGGGGTAGGAAGCAAGGAGGCAGAGCCAATGTTAACAGGGGCCGGGCTGTTGTAAAGAAAACAGGGGCTTTGTGCCCACTCGGAGGAGACCAAAGATAGAGGCTTCCAACAGAGCTGGAGATGCATTAGATGAGAAGGAGCTCACCCAGACTTTCGGGAGAGACGACCCTGGAGTGGCTACAGAGGAAAGAGCCCAGTTAAAATCTTTTTTAAAAGACTTATTTTTATTTTTACGTGTGTGTGTGTGTGTGTGTGTGTGTGTGTGTGTGTGTGTGTGTGTGTGTATGAACTTGTGTGCCCAAAGGCCAGAGAGGACCTCAGATCTCCTGGAACTGTAGGTAAGACAGTTGTGAGTCACCCCATGTGAGCGCCAAACTTTGGTCCTCTGGAAGAGGAGGGTCTCTCCAGCTGCCTTCAAATGTGCAGGAATAAAGGCAATGCCCATCTACAGCTCCAGCTAAACCTTAGGCTAAACCTAATCCAAGGCAGAGAGCCCGAGCACTTCAGGGTGGTGCTGAAGAGATTAGTACTCCATCTTCCTTTAACATTAGTGACCACTCGCGGCTGTGCACGGGACAGTCAGTGCTGAGACAATGCACAGACGGCAAAGCGTGAGGGCTTCATGACTGAGAGGCCAACAGGGGGAGGGACTGGTAAACGGTGCAGAAATCTGCTAGGCACCTTCCAAAAATGAAGGGAGCTAAAATCATCCCGTACACACAACGTGCCCAGGACGATGCTTAGGGCAACCCTCACAACAGCCTTACACAGCAGGTATTGCCATCGTCCCTCTTTTGCTAGGTGAGGAAACTGAGGCCTGGCATTTGCCCAAAGTCACACAGCTGGCAACGATGGCGCATCAGTGTCCATGGGTGGCCTTTACCGACTGCACGGGTGTGTGTATGGGGTGGTGTTGGTGTTGCATTTAACCACATTCAAACGTCCCTGACTTCTGAATCTACCCTTTCACCAGGCCCCCCTGCCTGTTTCCTGGCAGCCGTGGCCCAGGTGCAGATCTGGAAGAAATCACAGAGAGGCGTTCCGGTGTGGTCATGAGCTGAAGGGTAGCAAGCGGGAGCCCCAAGGTGAAGAGGTGAGCCTAGCCAGGGGATGGGGGAGGGCCCGCAGGGAATCGAGGCCTGCTTGGCTTTCTTACCCGCGATTGGGTCCTTTGGGCACGAACCATGGCCCAGCGATGCCGATGAGGCCCCAGAACGTGGTAAAGATGATAACTGGGAGGGCAAAGGAGTGTGCTGTCATGGCTGGGTGCGCGATGCTCAGGTGGGATGCTAGGTCGAACGGCGGACTCTCTAAGCAGGTGCACGTCCTGGAAGAGAGCGGTGAGCATGCGCAACGGGATCCAAGTAGCTCAGGCCCTGGACCAAGCGATTCTGCGCTCGCGCATCTCTGAACCCCGCCCGCTGGGAACGCAGCCTGAACACCAGCTGTCACTCAGGGCCAAGGGCGGGGCTTCTTAGGAGTCTTTTCCTTGATTGGCTGAGTAGGGTTTGCTCCGTCGCAGATGATTCCAGGCTCGGGTTTGCACTTACTTTCCTTTCTTATTCCCACCAAGACATGGTGGGTCACAAGTTGTGCTCTGGCTGCCCAGGTGTCTGGGCTGCCCAGGACAAGGAGACAGGGCAGGAGGAGACCCGAGCCGGAGCGGGGGACTGCACGGGGACCACAGGGACTTCGATTGTGGAAGTTCATGTAGTTGGGAGTCCACAGACTTGGCCTCCCATCTTTCACCCAGTACCACGTTGCCCTCGGTCGCCTCGGTCGCAAGCTCGAGGGAAGCATCTAGCAGCTTAAAACTCAACATTTTCTCCATCAGGACAGGAAGGGTCTTTCTTGGACTTTTTTGGTCCCATATCTCCCTCTTTTGTGGAGAGCCATGGGATCTGTTGATCTCCACCCTCTGTAGAGATCCTTTCTATAGAGAACAGTGGCTCCAGGAGACATCCTTGGCAGCAGATCCAGCCCCTTGCAGCTGACCAGGGCTGCATACATCCCCGGAAGCTAGTGGTTGCACAGCATGGGAAATGGGGCACCCACACACGCACACACACATTGGATGCAGACGGGAAATGCCTGTCCTCGAACTTGCCTCTGCCGGTGATGTGCCCCTAGCTATCTAGAGCAGGGACAGGTCACATCCGCTTTTCCCTAATTAAGACTGTTTTATTCATCTTGTCAAACTTCATGCACGTTGGAGGTGAAGAGAGGGTGGTATTCAAAGATCTCAGGCGCAAATAAGCTAGTTGAGGTGTCACACGATAAAATACTACAGCTCAGACTTGTTTAAAAGCCTTACTGCCCAGGGTGATGGCACATGCCTGTAACCGCAGGAAAGTGAAGCCACTCTCTTGTCTACCGTCTCCCCTGGAGGGTTTTGGTTGACACTAGCTTTACTGGGTACCTTGCAGTGATTCCCGTCCAGTTTGTCCTCTGACCTCCCCACATGCACCATGGAATGTGTGCCTCATACAAACACAGACATAAAATAATGATTTTTTAATGTTTCCAAATCCTCCCTGGGAAGCGACAGGAAACCAAGCCTCAGTGCCACAGACTTGTCACGACACCTCTTTGTGGATATAGGTGGTGGTAGTGGGGGTGGGCAACAATTTCGGGTGTCTGTCTTTTTAGCAAGGCCTCGTGATACTCAAACATATGGCCATGTGCTCCTCAGGCAAGGCTTGGGAGCTGGGAAACTTAGTGAGTGGGAGGAAGAGGGTGAGGGCAGTGGTCTGCTGCTTTCTTGTTCTCTTTCTTGCTCCCCAGCAGGGATATGAAAGCCTGGACCAGAGCAAGTGTCTTTTTCATAACCTGAGCCTACCCCCCCCCCCACCTACCAAACCCCGAATGCACAGAAGTCTCTGGAAATGGAGAAGTGTGACACTGTTTTATTCAGCTTGTGGCATGCCTGTTCTTGCCCTAAAATAAACTCCATCCCTTGTTGCAAAGGCCTTGGGCATCCCTGGAGCCCTCTTAACTTTCCCTACCAATTGATGTGAGGCCCGAACCTTCCAATTGGGGCCATGAGTCAGGCTTCAGGATTGATGCAGATCGTATGCACACAGGAGTTTAAGTCAAGCTTGGCTGTTTCCTGAGTGGTGCATGCTACTGCAAAGCAGAGGTGCTCTACAGATTTGATAGAGAAGATAAGCTCTGAGTGAAGGACTCAGCCTGAGCTGGAGCCTGCCCTCAGTGACGGGAACGCTGCACCCCCAGAACTCCTCTGCCGAGCGCCCTGCTCCACGGAAGCCTGTGGATGCCCAGCCTCTGGTCAGGCCACTGACAGACTCTTCTCCCTCTATGTGGGAGTTCAGGGGATCTGTGGAACATAGCAAGACTCCGGACTCTCAAGGCCAGCCACTCCTGAAGGGCCACCGTCCAGGTGGGAGCTGGAGGGGGAGTCAAGTCATCACAGCAATCATTCTGTGGAGCAGGTATGCTGCAGCTGGGGGCAGAGCTCCCATTTCCGTGGGAGCCACAGCCAAGCCCCTGAACACGCAGCCTGTCTTCTGCAAAGTTCACTGCTGCCTTTCTGGTTATCTGTATGAAGAAGGAAGAGGAAGCGTATCTTACTGTAAGTTCAGATAGGAAATATATTGTGGAAGGCCTTTCTGGAATATTCCAGGACAGGCTGGCCCAGGCAGGTGTTTAGTCTTGCCCACAGAACTAGACAGCCAAGAGCCAACACTCTGGTGCCACTCTGTCCATCCATCTTCAAAAGGGACTCTGTGACATTTTTTCATAGATATGCTTCCTGAATTTTCTGTAGCAAGTCCCCAAGCTGTGGTCTAGTTGTGGTTGCTGCAGGGAGAGATTAAAGTGGTGGCAGGAAGACAGACTCCCTGAGCAAGGTCACCTCCTACAGAGCAGTTAATTTTCTCATCACTGTGACAAAAGAAACTTGAGGAAGGGTTCATTTTGGCTCACATCTCACCATGGTGGGGAAGACAGCGGCAGGAGCTTGGGCAGCTGGTCACTGCACCCACTGGCAGCCGGTCACTGCACCCACTGGCAGCCGGTCACTGCACCCACTGGCAGCCGGTCACTGCATCCACTGGCAGCCGGTCACTGCACCCACTGGCAGCCGGTCACTGCATCCACTGGCAGCCGGTCACTGCATCCACTGGCAGCCGGTCACTGCATCCACTGGCAGCCGGTCACTGCATCCA